ATTTTCTGCCTCCACCAACCTTGAAGGCAGCTCATTCCAAAAGCCAACCACCCTGTTTGAAAAGTAATACTGTCTGAACTGCAAACGAATCCTACGCTGCCAAAATTTGAATTTATGAACCCTTGTTCTATTGTTTTCACTGCTAAACACATAAAAGTTTGATGGATCTATATTATCAATACCCTTAATAATCTTAAATACCTCAATCAAATCCCCTCTGACTCTTCTTCAAGGCAGAGAAAACAAGTTTAGAGATTTTAGTCTCTCCTCTTATGACAATCTCACCATCCCAGGTATCAAGCTAGTGGCTCTTTGAATCTTTTCCAACAATGCAATGTCCTTCTTGAATAAGGAAGCCCAAAAATGTACACAGTACTCTAAATGAAGCTTTACATGTGATATATACAGTGAAACAATAATATCCCTTGTCTTGTATTCAGTATTTCTATAGATGCTATTCAAAATCCCATTAGCCCTATTGCTAGCTACAAACACTGTTTAGATGACTTAAGTGATGTTTCAATTACAACACCAAGACTTTTTCTTCAACCACAATATTTAACATATTCCCATTTAAATTATAACAATAATTTGAATTGTGAAAACCTACATGCACCACCTTACATTTTGGATAGTTAAACATCATCTGCCATTTATTGCCCCAATGCATCAAATGATCTAAATCTCCCTGTAAGTTAAGATTGATTTACGTTTAGAACAGCAGCAAAGAAAATTATATGCAATAGACTCTGATAAGTCTCAAAAACTGATGAGGAATACTTTAATCTGACTGTACTGACAAATTCTCAGTTTGGTGACCTGTTTTTCAGGTTTCCACTTCTGAAGAATACCTATGTAAAATCTCTAAGAAACTGTTTGGGAATTTTTCTTATTAAACTAACTCCAAAGTGCATTTTGTGACAGAATTCTATCTTCAATTCTGTATTTAGAAAATACTTTTGCTTTGAAGAAAGCAAAACACTCAGCTAGTTTTGCTTTGGTGAGCAATTTTGTTTCTCTTATATTTTGGATTTTGACAAATCAGCTGCCAACAACTGATATCAAACCATACCTATCCTCTTGCACACAATCTTTTACAAAAATAGCACAATGATTTCCATACTAGCTCCAAGTCTGCATTCTAAAGGTGAAGTAAGTATGCAGAAGTAGCAGCCACTTGTAGAAATAATGATGTTACATCTACTGATTGGTCCATATCTTGCTAATGGGTGGAATGATACAGCAGATGCTCTACACATATTCCAAAATTAAGTTGAAAACATTTAAAACCATGTGATATGGCTGTATGGATAGAAGATTTAGAGATGCATTGTATCTCCTTCATGAACTAGGTGTGAAAAACCCAGATGTCATTCTATCAGGGCTTGTATAAAAGTGTGTTGGGCAGTAGAAGTAATACATGATTACATAAAGCAGAAATAGCTACTTAACCCATATGGTATTTACAAACCTGAAGATTCCTTTCAGAGACTTTTATGTGGGAATTGTCAGTGATCCGTGCAACTGCTATCAATCTTGTTCCTACACAGAACACAGAAGCTGATTCTATTGTACTACAGTGCATGCATGAACTGTCAAAATTATACAACACACTCAAACGGATTGCAGTATCTGAAAGTTTAGCTAAAAATAGGTTGTTGTGTGTTAAAAGGCTGATGCAAGTGAATCAACTTTAAACTTACCACAGCTGTTTGAAGAATATTAATAGTCACTGATGCTGAGTGTACATAACCTGAAGCAAGTGATACCACACGTGTAGAAACATCTACTTTAGTATGTTTGTATGATTTATAGGTCAATAGTGAAAAGGATGGTCTTTTCCTTGCCAAAAATTCAGTTCTGTCATGTTTCAAATAATGTGTTCTCTCTCTGGATTTGGTGTGACAGAGTAACCCACCTATACTAGCCTGGTGTTGTCTGTGATGTGTAGACACATGAATAGTTGTCATTGGCATGTACAACATCAGTAATATTGTTCTTGAGACTCAAACAGCTCACAAAATCAGCTTCCATACCTGAAGGTATTTATGATACTGAGACAATCATCAATTTTGATGAATCAAACATTGACAGAAGATTGAATGTGAACATTTAATATACATGGTAGGCGAAATGTGACATTATTATGGATAAGATTCCAGGGAGGGGCAAAGTAGTGTGAAATTGTGAATTGAATAAAAAATTCATATGCCGAACAAATACATAAAGAATTATGTTTCTCATTTATGTGGGGGGGGGGCGAGTGTCCCCTCTTACCACCCCTGCAAATGCCCATGCTTTTGTAGTCTTCAAAATATGTGTAAAAATGTGAATACAGTAAATAAAAAGAAATTCAAATAGTGGCCAAAATTATCACTATATAAACCTTGTCCTTTTGTATGTTTTCAAAGAGGCCCTATAAATGTAGTAAAGTTAGTGTAATTTTTTATATTTCTAAACTTGTATTGGTAAAATTTTCGAACTTCAGATAGTACTTAAATGTGCTTGGACATCACATTGTAGTAATTCTAAATATACTTTCAATACCTCATTAAGTTTGACATATATTTTTAACTAGTTCCTTTTCTGATTGGCCAAAAATATAAAAAAATTTTGAATTCACTAGTTTAAATTTAGAGACATATATTTAAAACCATTCATTTCAAAAGAGTGTTTGAGGCCACCTGGCTTTCCTATCAATAATACCACTGGTGTTTTTTTTAACATTAGGTTATTTAGTTGTAATGAGAAACTTGACATTTACATTACGTAACAAAAATTCACACCATGACAAGTTAAAACTACAGTTTTAAGTTATATCAGCTATCATCAGCTTACATCCATAGGTTGGTAACAAGAAATAACACCAAATGGAGCTTTATATTGCTTCAAATGGAGAAAGTTTTTTGTTTGTTTGTTTTGAATTTTGCGCAAAGCTACACGAGGGCTATCTGCACTAGCCGTCCCTAATTTAGCAGTTTAAGCCTAGAGGGAAGGCAGCTAGTCATCACCACCAACTGCCAACTCTTGGGCTACTCATTTACCAATGAATAGTGGGATTGACCGTCACATTATAATGCCCCCACAGCTGAAAGGGCAAGCATGTTTGGTGTGATGGGGATTCGAACCAGCGACCCACAGATTGCGAGACAAGCACCCTAACCACCTGGCCATGCCGGGCCCAAGTTTTTGGGTTTAAACATCTCTACCTAATGTTATATAATGCTTCATCTGGTAATGATACTCACCAAAACAAATACAAAAATAATTACAAACAAACATGTATAATGTGCAACTGTTTTTTGAAAAATATTTAGGATAAAAAGTACAGAAGAAACTTGAAATAATAGTGATAAAAACAATTTAATAAATATACATTAAATATTAAGCATTTTAATATATTAAACTATGAATGAAGTATTATTAAAATACTGTGCACATAGCACTAATATTTTTATAACTTAAAATATAGGCATGATAATTAACATCCAAGTGTACAGAACAATGTTTAACCAGATAGAAATAAGTTGTTAAAAAGTGCCTCATTAGGAGTCAGGGAGTTAACCTTTTCAATTATAAGGTTCAAATACTGCATGCATGAGATGCAAAAATTAAAATTATCACACATGTTATACATTAAATACAATTCTCTAAGTATTACAGGCAAATGTACAAAATCTCTAACCTTGGTAGACTCCAAGGAATCTTGCTGCTTCAGCTTGAAGACTAAAAGTGATAAAGATTTAAAAAAATTAAATAACAAAATCCTAAATAGAAAAAAACTGAATATTATTATGAAGTCAAACAAAATCACCGAAGCTCAAAAAGACTTGTGTGGCTAATGAAGAAGGCTGCTAAAGATCACAAGTCATGGAAGTTGATGGTACAATAAGTATTTGTATTTTTGTATTTATAACAAAGCTACTGAGGCCATCTGTTACTGTCCCTAATTTTGAAATACTGGCCAGAGGTAAGGCAGCCAGTCAGCAATACTCTACCACCTACCTACGGGAATTTACTGTCATTCTTATAATTTACATACAGCTTAGTGTGTGGGGAATATCTTGTGGTAGTGCACAGATTCGAACCAGACTCACTAGTTCCAAAATTCAGAGCTCTACCATGAGGCCAACCTATGCTTGATACAATAAGTACAATATTTCAAGTATTAAATGCTGTTGAGTTAAAACATAATATAAAAACATACTACATAGCACTTTCTTAAACAGTGAATAAAACTGTTTTTATTGTGTGAATTACCATAACTATTTCTTATCTCTTCAATGGGCATTCAAGCATAAGATTTATTGAAAACATTGATGCATTTTACCAATGTTTTTAATGTCTCTAACCCAGTTCATGTATAATCACTACAATAATTTTCCACAGTAACTGCAATAATAATTATTTTAAACTTTATCACCACAGCAAGTTACACTTATCGATACTTTCATCACTACTGAGTCACAATTATGGAATTAGCTTTAATATAAGATATTTAGAAATAACACATCTATTGAATAGTTATAATTTTTCATTTCTTTATGTAGCAGAAAAACAAATGCATTGAGATGCTTAAACTTTAATAGTATCAGATTTCTCACAACATCAGTGCACAACAAACTCAAAATATCATCATTCTTATGTATTATAGTGTATAATAAATACTACCAAAATTTAAAAAATTCTGTAAACCTTTTACATGCAAAGCTGCAGGCAGACACAATACTTTTATCCCTGACTATATTAATTCTATAATTTTTTTTATAAAGAACAAATAGTATTGAACATTATCAATACTCTCATGCTGATATAAAGTATATAATATTAACAATAATAAACCACTGATAAGTCTTTGTATGTTATGCTCTGTTGGTTTGACCTATCAATTAAACTTTAAGATTTGGTTACCATAATTTTATCTTAAAGAAATGGTTCTTCTCTAGTGTATAGAAGCAAGGGGAGCATGCTAACACGTGAAGGCCCTCTCTACCTGATTGTCTGATCTGTTGAATGAGAGTACTACAATATACAGCTGCCCATTGCCATTAGGCTTCGGTCTAAATATAGTCTTCACATATCCTTTGTGAAAAGTTTTCTGAAACAATTAACCACTTTTATAATTCTTACAACTAAGTAATAGTCTTCTGTACATACAACATTATTATAAAAATGTTATTCATTTAATATTACAACCCTTGTAAATTAAAAAAGCAAACAGTGATACATTTTGATATTATATAAATATGAATTTCATATATTGTTTGCTTACCTCTAATAGCTATTACATTTGGTTCTGCATTTGCATCTGCTGACCAAAATGATACATTTTTGTACTTTCTACGATTTTATGAATTTCTGTTTGTTCATACATTTTGTTTAATAATTATTTTATTCCTCATTACATATTTTGCTATCTATACTTTACTTTTCATTAAAACCTATATTAAAATTGAACTTATGAACAGTTAACTTTTATTTAAGTATATGTAAGTTATATAAATAAAAATATTACAATTACTGTTTTAAGAAGAAAAAATGTTGCATTTTATTTAACATATAATTTGCAATTACTTATTTTTAATTAACTAACTTATTTGTACCTTATTATATATCACTTAATGTTTACTTTAAGCATCTTTTTAAATTATGTGAAATACTTGAGATTATTATGTGATAACAAAGTTATGATGGCTAAAAATTCAGAATATAAATACTTTAAAACACTAATGTAACATTTAAAATCTAAAAGGAAATTTTGAGTCACACAATGATACAAAATACTTACAAAAAACATTTTTATTAATGAAAATTATTAAGAATGTTATCAATATTGAAGAAGAAATGCAAGTAGGCATATAATACATTCTGATGCTTATCAAACAAAGAGGAAGAAAGAGCTAAGCTAACAATATTTGTTACTAAGTGCTAACTATGTAACTGTGGCATATGATGATAATAAAAACTTCATTTGGTGAAATGATGCAATCAAGAAAAAAAAAAGAAAACCCATCACTTATAAGAGAACTACAAAGCCTAATAATTCAAGTAGTTAAATTTAATTTTAAGTTAATCCTGCTCTACGCTCACATTAACATTGATGCAGTTTTAAAGTAGTTCACAATCTCCTAAAATTAATAATTTTTCTATAACTTAGACTGAAAGTTCAAATATAATGATGAAACTTCATTACTAATGTATAAAGTCAAATATTTAGAATTTACCTAATTTCAGTTACTACAATAATAATTATAAATATTTTGTGCATAAGAATTTCAAGCCTTTAAAATTCTTAACAAACTACAATTGTCAACTATTATAAATAAATAAACTAGATAAAGCAGAAATACTAATCTTATGTCTGAGTAGTTACATGCTAAAACTGTTATTAGTAATACTTGCAATCATGGTAATTACTATTTTCTTCATTCTTCATGAATTATTTTGATGTTTCTACTGTTTACTAAATCTTTCATTAGCTAAACAGGTTCAAATGCTTTATATATATTTAGTGATATGCCTCAGAAATATTGAGAAGGGACTCCCTTGCCCTATATATATATATATAAAAGTACTACATTACTGTTATTATTTTTAAAAAGTTTTCACGAAACAATGGGAAGTTACAAATTATTAAAACTCGAATTTTTCAACTGTAACTCTCCTAACATTCAAAGAAATATTAAAAATGTTCCAAAACACAAACTTATACCATGTTACCATCTGTTAGAGTCAACTACACAAAAACCATGTTACCATCTGTGAGAGTCAACTGCACAAAACCTTTTCATAGTTGCATTTTCAGATAAGAAAAATATTATCAGTAACTTGTTCAAGAAAAAGTTGATTTAATATAGTTTAGAGTCATTTTATTCTTCATAACTGTGCTTTTTATCAAAAGAACAAATTACCATAAAAACTGAAGTCATTATAAGTCAAAACACTGTGGATACAAAAATAAGTTGTTGATGGAAAGAGTGACTGATAAATGCTGGAAAGACATTTAAAGTAAACATACTGTAATATTTGAAGGAATCAAGAGATAGATTAGTCGAGTTTTAGAAGTCAATTGAGTAACACAAGTTCTTTTCTTGAAAGACTGCTTAGTTGTCTACTACATTATATGACAGTAATTTATAGCAAACTGAAATAATTTGAGTTCATTTGATATTGTCAGTATCTAAGAAATATTGTTATGACTGATAACTGTTATCAGCATATGCAAATATTTGCAAATAAAATTAAAATCCTTTTGGCTGGAAGTAGTTTTTACAAATATATATATAGATATTCACATTGAAAATATATAAATCACACAAACTAGTATTTCTTGCAAAGCCTCAAAACTTCTAGGACATAAGAACTGTCATCTTTCTCCACTGTTTGCCTACAATAAAAAAATCTCAACTTCCCATTACTGCAGTCCTTAGAGATAATATTATGCTTAAAAATACTTAAAACTTAATTCATTCACTTATTCATGATAGTGTTTAAAATAAATACAAATATTTTTAAAGGTAGAAATAAATTTGTCTGTATTCTCTCTTATAAAATAAGACATTTCATGATGACGACTGTTAAATTTTTAAACTAAATTCAGAAAAAAAAAAAGAAAATGAAATGAAATCTGCATTCTCACCTTTCCAAAATCTTTTTCACACGAAGAACTTCTTTATGGAAAATCTCCATAAGCTTTTGATTGTTTCCATACATAATCTTATTGTCTGGATTCTACCCATTAGTTAAAATAAAATTTCTTTTCAGTACTTAGTGTATATAGAACACACAATATATCAAAAACCTTTAAACATTTGACAAAAATTTAACAATAAATAATGTGTCCACTGATTAAGGAAATACATATATATTTTAAAAGTGGCAATGTATATTTTTGTTATTGTTTGATATTTTAAATTCAAGATACACATTATTTTAAAATGCATAGGTTTTCATTATATGATGATTTTAATGGTTACTACTTACTGATTATAACACTAGTTAGTTTCATTGCTTTATCTATATGTTACTAAATATTCATTTACCACTGTATAAGTTAGGTTAGAAATAAATGTTTCCAGATCTTAGGTTTGAAACAAACTTTCTCACAATAAATCACATAATGTTTGCAGTAGGTAGATTTTGATTATAAGTTTGAATAAATCCTGTGCTATTATGAAGAAGTGTTTTGTACATTTCATTGTAAAGATTTGGAATGATAAATTCCAAGCATGGGAATATCTTATTTAAATAACTAAAATATACTGAGAATAATGCTAAAATTAACAGTCAATACATCACAGTATACCATATACTACATGTAATAATGATATAACTAATCCACACTTTTCAGACAGTATTCTTTATTTTCAGTTTTCTCTTCTATACCTAAACAGCTAAATATTTACATGTACAAGTTCAGTAAGATTGTCCACCTAAAAATAATTCCTTCTCTGTTACTATGCTATTTTATAAGAATTCTAAAACTACAATACTTTATTATCTTTGGTCAAATTCTATACATCTTTAACGAAAAAGTGCTTCTCTACCTATATTGTCCACAATATAGGTATAAACAGTATTTTAGTTTCCAATTCCTAAATGTTTCAATAGAAGGTTTTATTTGTTTGTATATTAATTATTATTTAGTACTTTGCAGTGTAAAGTGAGACCACTACAACACTGATTTGCATCCAACTTTACTATATACAGACCTTTTTGTTTTTACTGTGTATTTGTATTTGAGTTTTATTCTCTTTTGCTGTCCATGCTCATATTATTCTAATATTTTCTGTATCTGCTGTTTAATGAAGATCTTAGGACTTACTTGTTCAATTTAACTTCACTGAAGTGATTAACCATGAAGTGTATAAGTGTGTGAAACCTTAATGTCAAATTTCTACATTTTTAAATAGGTTTTATTCATGTTTATATTAATTATCATTTTATACTTTGTAGAATTTGTTGAAATTTCACACCCTTTACTAATAATTAATTAAGACTTTTTTGTAAATATGAATTATAAAAAAACAAGAAATGTTAATCATATGTGTAGATCTTACTGTAAACTTGGAATCGTGTTGCCAATCGTTACTGATTTTATATTATTATTGAATATAATTAACCCAAAATATAGAAGACATTTTTCGTGTGAAAACTTCGTTTATATGTACATGAAATCCACTTTTTAAAACAAAACTGCATTTAAATTAACCATAAAGTGCTTGTTTTTTAATAGTAACTGAAATACTTTTCTTTATATTAATGAGATAAAAAATGTTTAATCACTATATAAACTGAGTACACAAAAATGCCAAGTTGTAGCAGAAATATAAATACTTCCAATAGCATTATTCATAAACTTTTTGCTTTGATTTTAAAATATTCTGGAAATTATTCTACCAAATATATACAACTAAAACTACAAACAACTCGAAAGAGAGACCTGTCTGTTGAGACTGCTACAGACAAGTAATTATAGGTAAAGAACTATAATAAAACACTAACCTTTTTCAGTTCAGGTTTAATGTGAATTTGGTCTTCAGAGAAATTGGCTTGAAGAGATGATGGAGATTTTACATATTTTTTTTCTGAAAATTCATCATCTTTAATAAGATCCTGATTTTTTTCATGCACAATACAGATATCATAGTTTAAATTTTGCTAAATAATTTTTAATCTAAATGAACCCTGTCAATAAAATCAAGTGTGTAACAAGTAATGTAATGTCAGTTAAAAGGTTTTCAAATTGCTAAAGAATATATTTTCATTTTTCTTTTAACACTTAAATTATGAAGCCTACAAAATAAAAACAAACTGAAAACCATGCAATAACTGCATTATTTACATATCAAAATTTACAAGCTGCTTCCAACAGTTACTATGGTTAAAAATGAGCTAACCAAATGGCAAAGATACTTTAATAAGCATCATCTGCAGTTTTAAATATTTAAAAGAAAAAGATAATACAAACGAATGAAATTTAAGCATCAAATCATTAATGAAATAGTTAATTAAGAGTATATTTCTAACCATAAGCCACCACCAATAAGGCTATTTACAATGTACATTTTTCAAACTGCAGAAAATAGAGTACTTCCACCCAAGCTTTCAAGAACCAAAATCATGGTATTCTCCAAACTTATGAAATATTAAAAATTGGTCAGAATTTTATTAGGTAGAATAATAACTGAAATTTCACAAAGATTATTTTGATTATATGTAGAGAGAGTATACCCATGTCTAAACTTTGTAAAATTAATGATCTAAAACTAAGTACACTGAAAGTTAAAATTGAATTTTAGCAAACACAAAGCAATAACAACACAACTTTTTACGTTTCTTTATAACCAGGTTTAATTATTTTAGGTCCTTAACAAAAAAACCTTATTGATATACATGTAATCATGCTAACTACCTTACACAATACATTTGCTTTGTAATACTAAAGCTATGCTGAATTACCTTCGGAGTCTTCTACATCAGGATCCACAAACATTACTCTAAAATGAGGATAAAAGAAAACTTATACATCCAGGAAACTCATACTAAGCTACTAAATATAAGAGAAATTTATAAGAACTTATTATATCGTTTTTATAAATACTACTTATTTAATTTTATATAAAGAATAAGATATATATACCAAAAGATGATATGAATTTTTTGCTCTTTCACTAAAATTCATTTTACACCACCAGAACATGATATAATGTATATATAATGAGTGGATCTACAGGACAAATATATTTTTTCATTATTGTAAACTAAGCATTTTTTAAGCCTTGTAATCTGTGTAAATAAGTTTGTTTTCAACTGACAAGTCTATAAATTTCAGTTTACTGTACATTTCTTAATTCAAATACATTTCAAAATAACGTAAACTTATCTGGTACATAACTTGATACAAGTGATACCACTATAATATTTTTCTCACTCTTTATATTTCCACATTCCATGTATATGTAATCATTCAAAGTATGTTCATTTGACTGTTCGTTGACTGTTCAATATTTAATTTAATTTAATATTGTGACTAAAATTAGTCACAAGTTAACACTTATGATTAAATACTACTATTTGTATTTCCATGCACAATGAAACATTTGAAATATTTGATTTTTATTTCTATACATATACAAGCCTAACTAAAACATAAACAGGTTAATGGAACAAGATATTTATGACTATCTCAGTTAAATCAATTTATCAAATTTAAATGTACATGCAACGTAACCATATTACTCCATCTTGAGCTCTTGCATATGCTCTCTACTGTTCAATATTTAATACACACCTTTCTAATCTAACTTTCTCTTGTTCTTTGTTTCTTGAAAGTGGTTCTTCATAATAAGCAGATGATGTATTCTTGAATTTTTCTTGTTTAACTAATGTAAGCTATATTTATAGAAAACAATCCCATTTATCACTTTACAAAATGAAGAGTTTTCTGTGAGAAGAATAAATAACAAAATACAATTGGTGCTAAAAATGTTAACATTTTTCCTTACCTGAAAATATATTTCACCTAGATACTCACCTCTCTGCACCACCAAGAGCTGTTATCTCGCATTCACTGCTGTATAATTCCTGTGCATGTCACAAGCCTTACGCAAGCTCCCACCCCTACATGTGTCAACATTTATTGTACCAGCCTATGATGTAATCATCATTAGAATATAACTCTCCACCACTAGGAGAGCAATACATCCTCCATTTGCAGTAATCCCCATGAGCACTAGCACATTAACACAGTTTTGTTCTTGACAAGGGAAATTAAATGCACCAGAAGTGAGGAGGACGGGTGCATGGTAAGGTAAGTATTAAATTCAGATATGTTACTCACCTCTCTGCACCACCTAGAACTAGAATCCCACATTAAATAGGGTGAAGAAAGTGGTGCAGAAAAATTATTAAAATGAGCTCCTTTAGGAAAGCAGCATTATAAAGGAAAAGCCCATGGATTGTGACATCCATGACACTAGGAGTAGCCTCTTGGGATGGCACTTGGTGGGACATTGCATCCATCTCAAGCAGGAAATACTTGTTTCGTGACTTGGGACTGGGGAAGCAAGAGTTCTCTCATATCTCACTATAAGAAATGGAGGAAAGAATTTGTGTGAGGGAGGACACCAAAGAGGTGTGTAAACCAGTGTCATCAGAAACAATTATTTGGAATCAGGTCCCATACTGAGAGGCAGTGCAATGGGTTATTGTAATTAGGGTAGGCACACAACTGGTGCTGTTGTTTTTTTGTCAAGTGCTGAATTGCCTGGAAAATATAACATATATAGATACCATTGAAGCAGGGATGAATAGGCTTAACACTTTCTGTAGTCTACCATCCAATGCAGATTTCGGGTAAGAATTCCCTGTGAGGCAGCACCCACCATGAGGTCAGGTACAGTAAGACCTAAGAATGGCAACAAATGAGCAGGTAATAAAGTGAAAAACAAATAAAAATACTCACCTCATGAGACCCTCTGAATAGAATGGAAAGTGGAAAATGAAAAGAGGTGAAACCAGCAGTGCAAGAAACTGCCATTCAATAGAGGTAATGTGATACAAATATGTGAGATGTCGTTCACTTTCCAGTCTCATCCAGGAGACAATGTTGATGATAGGTAAAAGTAGTGAGATGATATCAAAAAGTGTATATGGGTATCCTTACCCAAAGAGGAATGCACCGACCAGTTGATCTAATAACTCCACTCAGTCAAATTTGAAGATGACAAGTCATGAGCAGAGGAGGCATCTCATGGTAGAAGCAATAGTGGTTTCTACAGAAGGGAAGGTAGTTCGAGCAAGATAACAATGAACAGTTTGAACTGGATACAAAAGATGATCAGGGTCAGAATGATTGTATAAAGAAATGGAAAGGAGAGTGATGAAAGAAAACATTTGATCATCCTACTGGGTAGCCCAGTTTTTCTTGAGAAAGGAGTGGTCTGGATATTAAATCAAATGATCCCTTCGAGAGAAATTGTGGGAGGCTTCTAATGCATACATGTCTGAATGACATCTCCCAAAAGTGAGAAGGAGAAAATACATCTTTAAGGACAGATGATAAAAGGAAAAGGAGGCTAGAGGTTCAAACAGGAAACTAGTGAAAGTAATAAAATCAGTTGATGACTCCAACATTTTTAAATATGCACAATATTTATTGATTGGGACAATGTACAAATACCTAAAGAAGTCAAAAAATGGATTAAATATAAGATAATTATTAGAAATTGCTAAAAACAAAATGATTTTAAATACAGATTTAGGTCCTGGTGCCACAAAAGTAAATTTCTGGAAATCAATTTTGTAAATGACACATTCAAATTGTACAAGTACATTTACTTGGGTATATATATATGAAATTTCCTGTGTTTTTTTGTCTCCTGAAGATTGTGGAGCATGGTTTACCAAAACATGTAGTTTTTAGTTTTTTATTGCTTTTAACTTTATACAATAAATTATTGTACATTTTAAAAACATTTGAGTCATCAACTAATTTTATTAAATCTCTGTAAAAGAACTGTCAGTCAGGTAGAGAGAGCCTCGAGAACAAAGCACAGTTTCCAGTCAGGAAGAGGGATTGGGCAAGGAGGACAGGTGTCAAGAAAAGCTCTGAAGAGGTTTGTTAGAATTGGAGAATCAAAAGGAGAAGGGATTGATAAGAGATGAAAAGTTGTGTGAAAAGCTGATCCATAACCATCAATCATTGACACAGATAAACCTTTGTCAAATAGCTAGGTAGAGAAAGGCAAAGTAGGACAACCTGGTGAAAAAGAGTGGTGAATGGTGGTAAATGATTTATTTGTGCTGACAGAGGTCTAGTGTGGAAGGCCAGCTAGAACTAGACATAAAACAGGTTACTCTGCAGGTGAAATAGAAAGCATGATAACCCATCATGAAACACAGATGTCCATGACTAGTAGAGAAGGAACCATAAAAGGGGAGGTTGAAGAAGCATCTTGGATGAAAAACAGCACAAGTGGGAAAATCACAACTGAACTGAACAAAGAGGAGCAATTAGAAGGACCTGGCAAGGGGTGTTGCAAATGAAGAGCAGGAGACAAGGAAGAAAGCAAAGAGGAAGATAAGGATAAAGAAGGAAGTGAGACCAATCCTACCTCAGAGCATTAACAGCCAGAGTACCAGAGTCTAGAACTGGACACCAAAAAAAAAGGAAGATTGATAATGAAAGGAGTCACAAAGGCATTCTTCAGAGAACTCTCAGAGTGAAACACCACAGGATAAAAATACTACTCTATAGGAAGGATCTGGACCATACAAAACAAGCAATTTGCACCAGATTCAAAGATCCCAGGACATGACAGGCCAACAACTAAGCCCATGACAGAAATTCCAGAATGAGAAAACACACATCAAGAGAATGGGTGCCACAATGATGGTTGATATGAGATGCGACTGTGGAATTGTTGAGTGGATCATACTTATATAACTTGTGAACTGAGATTGAAAACAAAAACACCCAGGTGGACCAAATACTGAATGGCAGTCAAGATTAACTTATTGACTTGAAGCACTCTTACCAGCCAACCTAGACGAGACACCTCATGAGGGAAGAGGGAGGCTGCATCCGTAGGAGCTCATTGAGATGGAGCCAGTAGAAGTGAATTTTCCATGTAATAATGGAAATGAAGACCCAAAATGTATTTGCCAAGCAAATGCTTGCATAACTTAATTTAAAATGTAAGGAGCCATGGTTGACTCGAAGAGGAAGGGACCAGAACTGAAAAACTTGACTGTTTTGGACAAAACAGAGGAAACAACAGCACGATATGCAAATTGGGATGTGAAGAAATGCAGCAGAAACATCAACTTTGGTCATTCACAACCAAGGAGAGAATGTCCACAATATACTGAGAAAACCATCCATCTTGAACCAAGGAATTCTGAGAAAAAAAGGTTCAAGGAAGATAAACTGATGATAGGCACCAATCCCTAGTATTCTTGGGGACAACAAAAGATGTGAATAAAAACCCTGAGATGGGTAGAAAAAAACAGGTTCCGTGGCAGTAAAGAGGATATAGCCTCCTGGAGATGCTGAATAAGCAAGATATTTGAGGGAAGTGAAGAAATGACAGAACAAGAAGAAAGAGAAGAGGATGTATATGAAAAACTCATGGACAGACCACAAGAAAGCACTTGCACGACCCAAAAATCACTGGCAAAAGGAGTCCACAGGTCATCTCCATGAACCACAACAGCCAATCCTACAAAAGGGGGAATGACAAGAAGGGGCAATAGAACAAGTAACATGAGAGAGGCAACTCCACAGTACTACTGGGAGTGGGGAACTTGTTGGAGCACTCACAATCTAGTAAAGTAGGAAATCAAAGAATCCAGAGAAGACTGCTGGTGAGCAATTTCAGCTCAATTTTCCAAAAAATTGGAAAGAAAAGGAGCAAGACAGAGGTCATGAAGATATGATAAAGGAAGGTTCACACCTGGAAGGAAGGAGTCCTGATCAAGTAAATCTCCAAAACAAAAAACTACATCAACAAAGATAGAGTACTACATGATATCAAGGCCAAGATGGTGAATAAATAGAAATTATTGTCTCCATTAAAACTGTTTAGGTCATGATGGAAAGCCTCTGAGAGAAGGTGAAGGACAGACAAATAATGAAGAAGTTGCAGGATGGTAAGACAAACACAAGGAGATTGAGGATAAATAAAGTAAGAATCAGAGAAAATAAATGGTGCACCCCAAGCAGATAGGAAAGATCCTAGAGACTGAGGTTCAGGAAAACAGAAGGATCATGATTATAAGCCATTAGAAAAAATCATGAAGTTGAAGAGGTGAAGGCCAAGGTAGATCAGCATATAATTAGGACAGAAAAGAATCAGTATAAACATATCTGAGAAGGGGAGAAAGAAGATGGAGGTTCATGAAGCAAAGCAGCTAGAGAGACTCAAAAACTACTGTTGAAAAAGAATGTCACATACCTGAGTAACCAGAGTTGTAAAAAAAAGAAAGTGTAAGTACCTGTTCTTCATCAAGAAGAGAAAAACCAGAAGCAAAGGCAGGTGGAGGGGAAAAGTTGGTCAAAGTCATCATTAGAAGAGGCAGACTCAGCAGAAGAAACAAAAACAGAATGACTAATGGACTAGAGAAGTGAGGCAGAAGAGTACCAATTGTCTGATGTACAATAGCTGTAACATCACTCACAGACAGGGTGCCTCTGGTTGCTATTGCAACAGCAGTAGAAGAATTCTGAAGTGGAGTGTCAGGAATTCAGAAAATACAGAAACATGGATCTGAGAATCCATAGTCAGACAATGATTGGTATTTTTTATCTTTATTTTATTCTTTCAAAAGGTGGTTAAATATATGAGGGTACTTGTAATCCAATAAAAACAAAGGAAAAACAAAGACAAACTAAATGAGTGGGATAAAGAAAACAAACTCAAGGTCATAGAACAAATGTCAATCCTGTAAAATTCAAGAGAAGCACAAGAAATAAATATGTCAGAATACTAGCAGTGCCAAGGAAAATATGAGCCTGTGTTCATGGGGATTACTGCACATGGATGACATGTTGCCCTTCTTTTAGGTTGGTGCAATAACATGTTGAGATGCATAGGCATGAGAGCTTTGTTCAAAGCTTGTGTCATGCACAGATAATCATACAGCAGTGTGCATGAGATAACAGCTCTTTGTGGTGCAGTGAGGTGAGTAACGTTTCTCAAACTAAGTTTTCACTTTGAAGTTTGTTGCAGAAATTTAAGTTTAATTAACTTGTCTGGCACCATTGTTTATACAAGTATATATGTTTAGAATTATACAGATTTTAAATCATACTATACACATATATTTCTTCTACAATTGAAATATAAAAACAAAGTTATATACAATCATATATAAAGTGAAAATAAATAAGCATACAAATTGTCTAGCAAACTTGCTATAAACTTTACAGATAAGAGTGTATATAAAATCAATATACATTGTAATGAGAAAAGAATTACAATGTCATTCACACAAGGTTTCAAATTTATTTGTTTGTTTGAAGTTAAGCACAAAGCTACACAGTGGGCTATCTGTGCTCTGCCCACCATGGGTATCGAAGCCCAGTTTCTTGTGTTGTAAGTCCACAGACATAACACTGTGCCACTGGGGGGCCTCAAATTTGTACTGCTCATCTATTATCCATATTTCGATGTGCAAAGAGCATGACAAATGAAGAAAAAACTGAGTCTATAATTTTGTGAAGTTTAAAAGTGTATACTAAGTTGAAAATAACTGTAGCTAATAAGTTTCAATTTTGGAATAGCTTGAAACATCAATGCAGTGATACATTCGAAAAGAATGTAAAGAAAATTTTACTTCAATAATTTGTAATGAGCCAAGGCTATGATGGAAATATTTACTCTGTATATTTATTATGTACTCTTAAAATAAAATGTATTTTTACTTTAGAGTATCGTCTAATTTCAATTTATTCTTACATTCTTTACCTAATTCATACTAAATGGGTCATTCTGTAAAAATGCACATTATGGTTACACAATGTGGAAAAACATTATAAATTACCTTTTTATCAGGAGATTTCAAACATGGTAAAGGTGATTCAGCTCCTTCATTACATGAAAGAAAATGTATTTCCTTTCCACAAATGGGAGTTGGTAAACTATCATTTTCACAGATCTAAAACAAGAAACAAAACTAATATATATGAAAAATATTTCAACTTCTAAAGGAGAAAAATAATTAAAAACATGCCAATAGAATGGTGCAGTTATATAAGAGCAGTTTATCTCACAGGTAAACAGTTTACATTTTCTCAGTTCATAAGTTTTATTTTTGACCTCTTAATAATATCATTTAGCACAGTTATGCTATAGAAATTAATAATGGATTGAATTTTTCAACATCTACTTATGACATTAAAGAGCAGAAAAACAATAAAAGATTAATGACATATTTTTATTTTCTAAGGATTCTTTTTTATATTTACCTCTTCATAATAAAAATTAACTTTTATTTAATACAAAATGAAGGTAATTAATATAAATGGTTAAAGTTACACCTACTCATTATAACTAGTTAAAAAGCAAGGAAAATTTTAGTCTGATCAAATATAAGTTCCTTCAATTTAGCCATTTTTCTTATTGTTTATTGAAATAAAGACTCCATTTTTTAAAACATAAGGCAGTTAATTTGAAAAATCAAAAATGCACAATTTATAATCTATATATATGGTAAACAGAATACTTATGAAAAATTATATTAACACCATCAAATGGAGCTTTTTATTAGACTATAAGCTCGCATACTAGATTCTGTTTTTTGTGGAAAAACTGAACTCTTTGAAGCTTCCAACATATTTTTCTTGGATCAACAGTAATTGCTGATTAATAAAATATTTTTTTTTACTCAATAATGTAATAATTATTAGGTATTTGTAGCAGAATGAAGATACCAAATATTTATTTGTAGGCTTTCATTTTACAATTATTATAATGGGATTATGAATGTGGTCCTGGGCCAGATAAACCCCAAAATAATTTATACTTTTGAGAAAAATGATGGAAATATGTGACAAAAAATTATTACAAATAAAAAAATATTCAATCTTGTATTTGAATTCAATGAAAAATTAAATCAGGGTAATGATTCTCATTTCTGATGATATTGTTTATAGATGACATGATGATTGTCTATTAATTAGCATTCTTCAAGCAATGTTGTTTAAGTTTTTTGCAGAGTTATATCATTCAAAGTGACACTTTATAATAAATTTTGATTTAGTGCTGTATTAAGGTTGGAATAATTTAAATTATCTGAAATAGTGAAATTTTGATCATATTTCACAAATCTAAGAGATAAAAATACTTTTGAAGAAAACTTATATTAAACTATGCATCCTATTAAATTTTTTATCCATATAGTTTAAGAATATAAGTTTTCATGGTCTGTTGAGGGCCCCGGCATGTGGGATATTCAAAAGCTCACTAGAAATGGATACTACTTAATGAGCTAAAATGACTACTGCTTTTTCATGAAGAAATTTGTCACCTAAATTTCTTTTATGATAAATCAGTAAAAGTTAATAAATAGAATGAAAGGGGGGGCCCGATGATATTACTGACCCGGGGCCAGGGCTGGCTTTTCATGCTCCTGTATATATTAGCAACATTCAGGAAAGCAGATATGTCCTTTTTTTTTGTATTAAAATGAAAAACAAAAGATACATTTCATTAAACTCAACATACCAAGTCTTTCATTTCAGCACAAATGGATGCACTTTTCAACACTTGTTGTCGAAATGGTGTACTCGAGTAAAAAGGTTGTTTTTTAAAAAAGCGAGAAATAATCTTTTGTGATTTAAGGCTTTTAGTTAAAGATGCATTATAAGGAGCTGGAATATCATCCACTAAATCTTCTGTATCACAACTATCTAGCTCCTCATCTATATCTTCGACATTCCAGTGATAATCTACACCTACAGCTTCAGCTATACTGCAAAAAAAGAAAAAAGTCATTTTATTACTATAATCATTCTGCTTACTCCAACTGAATAAAGTGCTGTCAAATAAAATTTCAGTCATGAATACATCTACTGCAAGTCTAAATTTTTTTAAACACTGATGCAAGATATAGTATGTGTTTGTTGATAAAGATAAAAAGAAAATATTAAGTTGTCCAAACATGAAAGAATAACTGCCATACAGAGAAGTAATGTGCCGAAAAATTACACATGTACACACTAAAAACACAACAGACATTAAAAACACACTTAGGTCTTTTTATTATTAAGATAATGACAAATTTGAACAATGATGATGAAAACCTCTGAAGTACCACTACTTACATATCAACAAGGAAACAAAAACTATTACAAACATACTGTTGGGGTGAATGTGCTTTGTAGTTACTAAAAGAAAAACCTATACACTGGATAGGCAAAGTGAAGAAAAGTGTCATTGGCCACTAGTCAGTCCTTCACATTATAGACACACAATAGTGTAACCCAATAACACACGTTGATCAAAGTGTAGATTGAACTGGACCTCCTTTGAACTTAAACATTAAGAATAAACAATTTTTGGAACACTAAGTTTATTATATGTGTTACTGTGCAGCTATATATTGTGAAGAACTAAACAGTGGTTAATGACACTTTTTCTTCACTTCACCTACCCAGTGTATAGGTTCTTTTCACAGTGACTATAAAGCACGTTCACACCAACAGTATGTTTGATACTTTTCACTATGATACAGATTCAGCTTATCTCTCTTTGGTTAACTTTTTGTTCAGGGTTACTGATGAGAAGTGGAATTTTTTGAAACTAGTATAACCCAATAACACATGTTGATCAAATTGTAGATTCAACTGAACCTCCCTTGAACTTAAAACTTTGAGATTAAACAATCTTCAGAATACAAAGTTTATTTATTAACAGCTATTACAGATCCTATTATTAAATACAATGACTTTACTAGTCTTACAAAATCTTTAATAATGACTTAATATTTATACAACGAACACTTAATGTTTCATAATGGTTCAATGTCATGCCAACAGGAGAGCTAAGGTAAGCCATAAATTTTGTAACGAGAAAGTTAAAACTAGGCTCAGCAAAATGAGAAATTACAGGACATTATGTACCCATATGTAGCACGTGCTTCATCTGTCAAAACTATTGACAGTCACCAATGGAATGTACCACAAAACTTGCGTAACTACAGTTTATATAGTATACATGCATAGTCCTGACAAATAATACAAACCTCTCTATTTCTCCTTGAGCTTTATAAAGTTGTACCTCAAGAACATTTTTTTCCTGCTGAAGAACCTAAATATAACCAATAAGATTATGATTAGCTTACAAAACCAACATAAAGGAAAGTTTGGATACTAATTAAGTTTAGAAACCACTGTGATTTTAATGTACACTAAACAAAAAGTATTAAACTAGAAAAGCTATGGCATTCATAGGTGTATCCTATTACTGCCTGTGGAAAACACTGCTTAATGCAACCTTGTGTAAGGATTTAGTTAGTGATGTCCTTCAATGGATGTTCAGGTAATACCTAGAAGTTAATGTCTCAAATATGTATTCTGAGAATAACTTGTCATGTGGTAACACCAGTCAAACAGTATAAATGCAAGGTACATTCAAACCTAAATCAATGAGCAAAGGACAAAGCAAGGCATAAAAACGAAACTGAGCTCAGATAAGGTAAAGTGAAGGTATGCAATCCAACTGAGTCTTTAGTCTTGCAAACAAGTACATACACAGTTTTTATGCTGAGTGTCTTAATAAAGATTGTTCATTTGGATTGTTGGTTTCTGTTTAGTCACCATTTTAGTATAAATCTGTAATTCCATATCATGAATAAATCTCCTGTTTAGCAGACTTATCTGTTATAGTTCTATAGTTAATTCAGTTCACCTGAATATACCCCCCTGTTATAGCCTATACAGCTGTATTATTGTTTAGCCAAGTAGAAATTTAAAATAATGAGATGGGTGTGGCCTCAACATCTGGTTGAAAATTAAATCTAAAATTTAGGAAACAAGTCACGTATAAAAGGCAAGTTAGTCTAGAAAGTAAGCTACTGAATGAGTCTGTTAATAAGTTATCAATAAATGAATTAGTCAGTTTGGCTGATACTTCTACCATTTACTCATAATTAGTTGTTTTGTGAATACTGAGTGTGCATTTTGACAGAAGAATAGTATCAAAAATTACCAAGTGGATATATATAATTTATATGAGAAGTTATGCCTAACACCGAAAGTTTATTGTTACAGTAAATGTAGACCCTGAAGACATAAAACATTTCTAGTATCCAAGCCTAGACTAGGCAGGTAGACAAGTAAGCAATTGCCTAGGGCAACAAGTTTCAGAGAACAGCATAATTTGATTTTTAAAATTATTGTTATTACTCCCCCCACTTTGCATTATACCATGATGTCTGATAAAATATATAAATATATATTCCTGCTGTCAGGAATGGGAATATTTTGGTGATGTAAAACAGAATCTGGACTCAACTTCATGATGATGACATATACATGCTTAAAATAAGATTGAAACTTTAATGGAAATGATGAAACAATGAAAAGAAGATAAAGAGGAATGTTATTATCTATTATATTTATTTAAACAGTTACGTGTGCAATACTTTCTATGGTACTGCATCTTTCCAGAAACAACCAATAATATAAAGTCATTAATTTTTTTTAATAGTCATGGGGTAACCGCCATTTCCATCTTTAACAGAAACTGTGTTGAATTTTTATTGATGTGATGTGCTTCTAAATCTATAAATAATAATAGCTTATAACATTTGAAAGTTGTCCAATGGAAGATGATGTTTGTCAAGGGCAGAAGGTCAGAAAAGAAAGACTGGGAAAAAACCTTGTGTATCAAGCCAAAAAGGATTCCCTTTGAAATATATTAAATACATGACTTACAGCAGGCTGCATCATTGTGTCAAGAGTCAGTGCCTATGCACTTGGAAATATACATTTCTCTCAGAATCCTGCTGAAAGAATTAATCAAGAATTATTTGCAATTCACAAATGACACAGAATCAATTGAATGGACTTGTGATAATAGCAACTGAATATGGACTTGCCCAAAACCTGGATCTGAAAGAAGCCTTGCAGGCCTTTACAGCAAAAAAAAAAAAGACCATCCGAGTCATATTTTCATAATCGGCAAGATAACGTTTTCCTAAGTAAAGTAATCTATCATCAATGATTTGGGTGCATTTATTATATTATTATCACATAGTTTTATGATCAAACTGAGTGTTTCAGAATTTCGTTTGTATGTGAAAATAAACAAGAACAGTGATGACATAATGCTTACATTTTGCCAGATAGGGGATACACATTTATATTTTACCTTGGAAGGAGAATGTGTAAAGGCAGCACTGTTGGTATCATTAAATAGACTGTTCTTTCCATAACACTTTTATCAAATAAACAAAAATAATATACCCAACAACAGAAATCATTTAACACTGCTGTCAGGAATAGGAATATTTTGGTGAAGTAAAATAGAATCTGGACTCAACTTCAAGCTTAAAATGAGATTGAAATTTAATGGAAATGATGAAACAATGAAGAGAAGATAAAGAGGAATGAGACGGAAATTGACAAAAGATTTATGAACAAATTATTAATGTAAATCAATCTGACCAGAGACAAAATCAAAGAAGTTATATGAAATGTACAAAAGGATATCAGAGAAGTACAGATGAATTATAAAATGATTTAAGAAGCCATAGGAAATGCATAGACGAGCAACAATACCAGGATAAAATTACTAAAAACCAAATGCAATGACTTACTCAATAATTCCAACTTCAAATACAATTAACTATGCAGTATGAAACAAGAGAACCCATTTGGTCTACACTTGTTACTATTGTATCAACTGTAACAACAGGTCCTTCCTAGACTACTCTAGATACACCACTAGCTTATTAAATTACAGAACACATCACCAACATTGTAAAATTGAAAAGCAACTAAGATGGGAAGAACAGGCGAGGTTTAAAATAATTTCCAAAATGAATAAATGTAACTGTATACAAAAAAAGTTTTCATCCCTCCCATGTCATTCTGTCTTTCAAAGAATATCATTTATTCTTCTCTGACACTTATTGGATTATTTATAACAAATAGAAAAAAACAATGTATTTTTTACAAGGTTCTTTATACAATTTATTGTTTGCTATCAGTAAGCAGATGTTTAGTCCCAGTTTCATTGATTCCAATTTGTTTTGGTGCTCCAGAGTAGTTTAATTGTTTCTTTTAGAGCAAAACCACATTGGGCTATCTGTTGCATCAACCACGGGGAATCAAACCCAGGATTTTAGCATTGTAAGTCTGTACTCTTACTTCTGTCCCACTAAGCATCTAACAGAATTTTTAAACTATTTATATTTATGTAGTCAGTCAGGATGCCAGATAAATTATAATAGTTTTCGGAGATTCTACTGTAGTTCCTGATATATATATTGTTTTACAATGTTTAGTTGAAAAGGAAATTAACGGTTTTGTGGAGACGCAACATAATAATTAACATGACAAAACTAGTGCTAAAAACACTTTCAAATACAAATTACTGAAATAGGCTTCAACTTCAAGTCTAATGTAATTAAGTCCAAAGTTTCTTTTCAAGTACATTTTTTCTTTATTGTTCTAAATATTTTAAACAAAAGTATTAACCACAATGCAAAGACTGACTTATTAGGTTAGATAACAAAAAGTAAATAAAAATATTAAACAAAAAACTGCATGAGTATATTATCTGCGATATTTAGTCCTGTTGTAGGGTGCGACTTGGTTATATTTAGGCCTCCCCCCTTGCTTAAAGTCCTTTATGGTTTTGGATGTTACATGTAAAATACTATATTAATATTACGAGATTAGGACACAAATATGTACATTAATCCTTCTTCCCCCTTTTTTGAGGGCCATGTCCGTGAATATCATACTATAGCATTTAGTGCTAATTAGTCACTTCTCTTCATTTAGTCGTTAAACACTAACAAACAGTTCCATAGACAAATCATCACTTTTTCATTTAATCACATTATGAAATGCATATCTAACATATAAAACCCTTTTAAATACACTGTGGTAATTTCACCTAAGTGATATTTTATTGTCTAGTGTAGGTGGACTTTCTTACGATACATACTGAGTGGTGAGAGATACTTAGGACTATCATCACCACGTATGATATAACGATCTATGGAAGTTAATAAACCATTCTTGTATTGATTTTTACCAAAATACTTGAACAAGTAATCTAGGAGTCTGTCATGGCTTGGTTGTATATATGCATAATTGTTAATGAAATTTTAATTTGTTGTTCTGGGTACTCTATAATTATAAGCTGTAGTAATTACTGAATTTTGTATTCTTTGTAATGCATTGATATTGGATGGTGCTACATTACTCCATGCTGGAATGACACATTCTATTACTGGGCATATATACTGTTTATAGATTTTGTTGACATTTTCTGGTGATGTACTGTTGTTTTTACCAGACAGTCTACTAGTTTTAGTTTGCTCGTTGCCATACTTTATTTGTAATCTTGCTAATATGATTTCTCCATGTTAATTTCGAATCATATATTAGTCCAAGAAATTTTGCTGATGGGGCAGTATTTAGAAGAGTTCCATGTAGGTTTGTGTCCTACGTGTTTTTATCTTTTTTTGAAAATTTGTTTTTATCACGTTTATTTTAAATCTGTGTTTCTGGCAATATTCCACTATTTGATTATGAACTGTTTGTAAATTGGTGGTAACTGTTGAGGGAGTCACCTCAGGAGTAAAATACTCTAAGTAGGCATCCTCCACATTTACTCTAGATTTTCTGTTATCAAAGAAATTAGATAATCAATGATTAACATCAGTTGGTAATTTCACTTGTTTCAGTCAGTATCTTAGTCCATTATGCAATACAGTGTGGAATGCTTTTTCTATATCGAGAAAGCAGGGGACAGTGCATTTGTCTCAGTTAAAACTATCTATTATGGTTTCAGTTAACTAGATGGTCTGTGGTTTGTCGAAACTTTCTGAAACCGTTTTGCACTTCAGGTAATTTTGATGCTATCTCTAGGAATGTTGAAAGTCTTACTAATTATTCTTACTGAAATTTTGCCTGTACAGCTAGTTAAACTGATTGAAGTGTAGCATTCTAGTATATTTGCTAGTTTTCCTTCCTTTAGAAACATAAAAACATTTGCTTGCTTCCAAGAAGCTGGGATATAACCTAAGTTGAGGGATAGATTAAATAATGCCATTAAATGGTCAAACAATT